AACTCTATTCAATCACAGTACTGTCTGTTTTCTGTTGTATGTACATGTAATTACTTCGCAGGGTGTGGATGGATCTTCACCAAAATTGGTATGGTGGTTACTTAGGTCCATGCGAGGGGTACATACAAATTTTCAGTTTTGCATGTTGCATTTTGCGGTTTTTATGGGCGTTTTGGCGTTTTTACCACTAACTCACCTCCTGTGGATGGATCTTCCCCAAATTCGGTTTGCAGATTCATTTGGTCTTTGGGAAGACACATACAAATTTTCAGTTTTGTGGATTTTATGGGCGTTTTTTTCGTTTTTTACCTGTTGATGAATATTCACCAAATTTGACATGAAGGTTTGTTGTGTCCATGCGAAGATACATTCAAACTTTCAATTTCACATTTTGTGTTTTGCTGTTTTAATGGGCGTTTTTGCGTTTTTTTTTATAATTACATATAAGGGAAACAACTTTTCATGTCCTAAGATAACCTTTCATGAATTTACATAATTTCCATCCAGGGAACGGGTACTCCCGCTAGTCTGTAATAAAAATGCTTTATTTGTTTACATTATATAGGTGTGTGTGTGTCTACGTATTTCGTTTCGTTAATTTATAGGCAAAATATTCAAAGCTCGGTATTCAAATAAATCAAAAGCTAATTCAAATTTATCATATATTTTATCTATAACTAGAGATAAACGCGGGGGCGTTATAATGTGATGGTCAATCCAAGTATTCGTTGGTAAAAGAGTAGTCCAAGAGTTGGCGGTGGGTAGTGATGACTAGCTGCCTTCTCTCTAGTCTAACACTGCTAAATTAGGGACTGCTAGCGCAGATAGCCCTCGTATAGCTTTGCGCGACATTCAAAACAAACAAACTAAATTTCCTGTATAGATTAATCTGTATCTATTTATATTTAGATTTAGTATTCAAGTTGTTTATGATTTACTGTCACGTTGCTCGACAAATACGTTGAAATCCAATATAACTCCTTTCATATCGGCAAAAGTTGTTTTAAAAAACCGTGTTCACAATAAGAACCTAACATTATTGAAAAACAATATTTTAGCTTCAGTTGAAGATTACAACACGACCTCACTGTGTGTATTAACATACTTTTGTTGAAAAACAAAAGAACAACAACAAACGTTTGTGAAATTTCCTATGTACAATTACAAAGGAAGTATGATTTTTTTATCTAATGTTATAGGCATGGTTTCTTTGTCCGACGTTTTTCCATTAGTTCCATTTTAAGCTTACTAGGTGATGTGTAATGCTAAGTAAACTTGAAATAACGATGTTTTATAACTTGCTATCATTATTATTCAATGGGAACTTGTTTATCTTCAAAATCATCATTAAGTTGTTCAGTGTTCAATTCCAAGAAATCATATTGTTTATTAAGGCCATTACACAATGCTGTTTTGGTCTTCGAATTGCGCTTTCCTTGACGTAACTAGAATAAATCGTTTTTATCTTTCCTTCAGATTGTTCTCCTAATAAAAAGCATAGTATATACGAATGAAATTTTAACCAGAAAAATAAAATGGAAAGTTAGATATTTGCATGGTAATAAGATGTTACCGATTTCTGGATTTATAAGCAATACATTAGTAAAAGTATTATTACAGTAGAACTTCATAAAGCAAAATGCACCCCCTGAAACAATAAAAATGGTTTAGCTCTCTGTCACAAATAATGGAAAAAGTAACGTTTCTCTCATTACATTTTCATTCTCGTCTATACAATATAAATTCGAAATGTATTAGTTAATTGGTTTAACTCTGTTCCCAAATTTTACAAAAGTATGTACTTACTTACCACATAATCATTAATGGTAACAAGAAAACAAGGGTATCAATAAATTTTTATTAAATAGCAATATTGAAAAGTGATTACTGATAATAATTATGTTCAATTAATATTTACCAATACTATATTTTTGGGTTTACAATTAATTAATCTGACTAGCCAACCCATTTCTTTTTAATCATTTAATTTTTAAAAGAAAACGTGTTCACGACTTATTTCAAAAGCTAAATATTGGTGGGTCGGGCGTAGCATTAGAGCGCCGAACTGACAATCCGAGAGAATAGTTCGCGTTCCATTGTCGCAAGTATATTGTACTTTGGGGGCGTGGTGTGTAATAGAAGAGACTGTCAATTCCTACTATTCGATTAAAGTAGCCCACATGTTGACGATGAGTGCCATTGACTAACTGTATTTCCTTTAGTATATCAGTTCCAAACTAGGGATAACTAACGCAAATAACTCTTGTGAAGCTTTGTGCGAATATCTGATACATGCAATACCTAATTATTGATGCTTCTTTTTAGCAAATTATAATTTTTATTTTTTAGTAATTCTTACGGAACAAATAATTATATGCGTATTTGTTACTTATTTTTGTGGTTAAAATTAGAAAGGAGTCATCCTTTGTTTTTATAGGTCGTGGCTCTGTCTTCCCCCCATTCTGAGGCTCTCTAGCTCGTGCCGACATGAGCTCCGCTGGGTCGGATGATCAGTCAGATGAGGAGCTGCCTATATTCCGTCCCTTCACCAGGGAGTCCTTGGCGGCCATTGAAACCCGTATTGCGGAGGAGATCGCCAGGAAGAAGGAGATAGCTCAGAGAGCGGAGGAGGGAGTAACGGGTGCAGCGGCAGGTGGCTTAGTGGACACCGAAATATATAGTTCAGCTCACGCGGAGGAGATTCTAAAACCTGATCCTATGCTTGAAGCTGCTATGCCCTTGCCAAAGTCACTGCATTCAGAACTACCCCTACAACTGATTGCCACTCCTATCGAAGACATTGATCCTTACTACGAAAACAAAATGGTAATTGCTGTATTTTGTTGTGATAGATTACTTCATTGCCTTTTACATTGTGTGCTGTCATTATCATTTTTTGTTTTGGTTCTGGTTATTTCAAATATGTATATATATATATTTATTACAGTGAGGGGTAAACATACTTATTTGTGTTCAACAAATTATTCTGTTGGTTATAACGGCTTCAATAAGATAAAAAATTTAAAATATTGATAATTTTCTTCTGGATCCAAGGAAAATGCAACATATTAAGAAAATACAACATCAGTCATAAAACTGGTGTACCTAAAGTGACTATTATTACTTTCATTTTTGTTCCAAAACCTTGTGATAGACAATATAAATAAAATAATATTTTTCCATGACTGGGTCATGAAAGAAAATCATTACTTTATTAGGAAGATTATGATGGTTGAGCAACATTTCATAATTGAGGGATATCTTTCCGTTATATATATTCTGATTCATATGTATTAATGTCTAGTTTAATTCTCATGTAAATATTTATTCAATCAATCCTATAGAAGGTGCAAGTTCTATTAGTCCCTATTTAATAATTCAAGTAATTCAAAAATAATAAGAGGCTGGCAAGTTTTACATGACTTCTTCAGCTAGATCCAACTTGGCTAGTTACGTTATAATTCAAAAATAATAAGTCCCTATTTAATAATTCAAGTAATTCAAAAATAATAAGAGGCCGGCAAGTTTTACATGACTTCTTCAACTAGATCTTTTACAAAACTTAAAAAAAAAATACGTATCTGAAAAAGAATCGATATCATCTATATATCAAACAAACGTTTCAGTTTGTTCCAGAACATACAAGACAGTTGGAGGTCATAGAAGAAAACGGAATTAGAAATATTTAATATTTTCAATGCAATTGACCGGTTATATACATATATATATATATATATACTTACGATATAAAATTTAATTGCTTATGAAAACATTTGTCTTGTTTTTTAATGAACTGGTTTTCACGTCTAATTCACCTTATTTATAGCAATAAATATCTGCTCTATGATGTTAAGCAAGCTATAAGAAAAAACCACTTATTAGTTGAAATTCCCGCCACCAGCAACAATATTCAGTTTCGTTTACCAGAAGCTCTATATAATTTCGGCGTCTAGGTATACTGAAGAATTTTTGTTTCTTTACTGTGTTTCTATGAAATACTGGTTGCACATAATTTCAAACACTTATTTCATACTTCTACTGTTTTGTAAGTAGTTTCGTACTAAAACTAACATGAGAGGTTTTTACCATGTTTGTTTTGTTTCTATCGCAGTATCTAATCATGTCATTTCCATTATTTTCAGTTTCAGAAATTAGGATATATTTATCTATCTATTTCAAAAGACCTGTATAGCTTTATACCTTTTCAAACATCAATAAAAGTGAACTTGATAATCTAGCTAGTTACAATGGTGGCTATGATACATGACAAGTCCTGTATTTTATTCACTTTATAACTAATCGCAAAGTATATCAAATTTCGTAAATCATGCCAAATCAGACTATATTTTCCTATAGTAACTTATTATGTTTTTGTAAGTGAGCTTAAATGTATGGAATTTACTTAAGGTAGCTCAAACAATCTTTAGTTTAATAAAGTAGCCCACGTATTAATTTTCAACTTTTGATCCCATCGTACGTCGCAAATGATATTTGTATTGATTAACTTTTCTCACCTGTTTCAAGAATACATTCAATTTTAAACAGATTGTGCCACATATATGGAAATATTACAGGGTACAAACTATATAGGGTGTCTATAAAGTCTGGATTGAATGCAAACATATTTTATTTAAAGACATAGTTATAGTAACTGTTCAAAATTGCCACCGCCAAGTTCAAAACATGTTTGTAAACGATACAGCATGATTAAGATATTGGATTTCTTTCTGGATGTTTGTTATTGAACTCCGCAGCTATTTCTCTTTGTGTCCATCCTTGACGTTCACACAACAGGATAATTTCAACGCCCTCTTGTAAGCTTAACGACTTGATTATTACATATGGGCAACACAAACCTGCGACGAAAATAATAAAACATAAAACTAATAACAAAATGTTTCAAATAAATTAAGTTTACATTGATTCCAGACTTTATGGACACCCTGTAGAAAGATATTCTACATTACTCGAATTAGGAGGGAAATATCTAATTGTCTTTAAATGGTAATATATTTACCTCATAAATCAAACAACTAATTGACAATTATACTGCCTGAAATGCCATTAGTTTCACAACTAGCTGAGACGGTATATGACACTTTTAGATATGGAAGTTGTGGGCTTGAGTATCTATATCTGTTGTTATTTATGGTATCATTTCATTTTTAATATAAGACCTCTTACTGAGGATTTAATATGATAGATGGCATATCCTTACCGCTGTGTAGTTAAAAATCCAACAGTTACCCCTCTTACTAGGACCAATGTAAAGTGGATATATCTAATTAGAAACTTAAAATCTCTATGGTTTCTTGTTTTAATGGATAATTAAAGACATTTACGGTTTTAAAATTGCGACTCGTGTACCATTGTATTGCATATCAATATTTGGACAGTAAACAGTAATTTTTAGACGAACTGAATACGATTTTCTTAAGTACTTAATTTTGTTGTTGAAACTGGGGCCTACTGCTCTCAATTTGTTTTTCTTTAAAAGGGTTTGTCTATTAAAGCACAAGCTTTTGTACGTAATTTGAACAGCTCTTAGATTATTATCACGGACATACAACTAGTTTACTATGATAACTTATTTGCGGCACTCTTTCCATCTCTTGCGCAGCTTCTTGGTTATAAAACTTATTTATTATAGTATATCCCCCTGCTGCGCAGCCTATTCGCTACGACAACTTACTTGTGGCAGTATATCTTCTGTTGCACAGCCTATTGTCTATGGCAACTTATTTGTGGTAGTATATCCTCCTATTGCGCAGCCTATTGGCTATGACAAGTTATTTATGGCTATATATCCCCCTGTTGCGGTGCCTATTGGATATACAAAGTTATTTGTGGCAGTATACCCCGATGTTGCGCAGTCTATTGGCTATTACAACTTATTGGAAGACTTATTTACCAATGTTCTAAATTCGAAAGCCCTTCATATCTCCAGACAACAACTGCTGAATGACAACTCTCCACCACATAGAACTGACATGAAGATAGATGCCATCATGGATCTAACGACTACTTGTCTACAATCAATACAATAACAAATTTCCAATACAACGCGGAATTCTACGAACAAACAGACGGTCTAGTCATGGGATCACCACTCTTTCCAACCATTGCAGACATTTTCATGGAAGACTTGAAAGAAAGAGCCTTCTCATCCACACATATTAAACCAAGTTTCTAGAGACGTTATGTTGACGACATCTTTATCTGGCTTCACTGTAATAAAAATTTACCGTCCTTCCTAGAACACCATAATTCTATAGACAAAGGGATCCGCTTCACCATGGAAATAGAGGAACAAAACAGCCTACCGTTTCTTGACATACTCATCAGCGACAAGAGAGGAAAATCACCACAACCGTATACAGAAAACACATCCACATGAACAGATACTTACACTTCCAGTCCAATCATCCAACCTCACTGAAAGGTGGTATAATCCAATGCCTAAAGAAGAGAGCAGAAAATATTTATGACAAGACATCCATTGAAACAGAACGCCAAACGACCGTATAGTGCTTTAAACAGAATTGTTACACCTCCTCCTTCATCAAAATCTCCCTGTAGAAAACCACAACAGAAAAAAATAAGGAAAACACTACTACTATTTACCTCCCCTATCTGCAAAATTCAGTGAAAATCTCAAACCATAGCCAACAAATTCAATATGGACGTCCGGTGGAAATCCTGTAAGACATTGAGATCCGTTCTGGTGAAAATCAAACAGAAACCCACTAATGAGAAACATAAAAACGTCATTTATGAAATTCCGTGTTCCTGCAACGAAACATACATTGGAGAAACGGAAAGAAGACGCGTGACAAGAATAAAAGAACATAAAGACAGTACAAGACTCCTGAAAAAATTCAGCCATTGCATAACACATCATGTCAACTGGACACAAAATAAACTGGGAAAAAACTAGAATCATCAACACAAACAAATTTTGGAAGAGAAGAAAAATTAAAGAATCCTTTTACATTAAC